CAAACTTGCATGCTGTGAATCTAAAAAAGCTTTTGTTAGTGACTGCTGGGCTTTTGGTTGTGATGGCTTAGCTGATGGACGGCTGTGCTGTGAATAAGATCGCAGTTAAAGAAAAAAGGAAATGAGAACTATTCTTTTTCAGAACGATTGCTTCTCTGTTATGATGCAGCCACATACACAGTCCTACTGGCGTAGGCAGGAGGTGCTGCTGCCAGATGCTTTACACTGTGGAGCTGCGACCCAAATACTGCGCTTAAGATTGCGCAGGAAGTGCATGTCAGAACAAGGAATTAAGCACAAATCATCAAGTTAGGTTACCTACTAAATCGTCCTTTAGGCTTGAGCTTCAACTAGGTAATTTCAAATTCATTTGCTGCAGTTTTTGTTCAGATTTACTGCTTCACTGATGGTTGCTACCTTATTCTACTTACGTGTCCTACCTTTTCACCTTAGAGAAAGAGGCTAGGTGGAGTAACTTTAACGCCTTTAGTAGGGCCCAGCTAATATTGTGAGCACCATAAAATGCATTCTGTTCACTTAGTTTCTTCTGGGGTTCTGTTGTTATGGAAAATCCTCAGGGCTGGGTAGTTTTGTGAAGTTAGTCATTGTAATATTTCCTTCCTTATTTCCAAGCCTATTATCTTAAACTGTTGCCTAAATTTGGTGTGTTTGCCTGTCTTCTAGGCTTGTAAACACATTAGGGAATTTCTATAAGGTATTTGTTTTGACAGAGTGAGGTGCACATACAGAAATACACTATAAATGTACCTAATGAAAATTCTTTTTCATCCAATAGTAATTGTCATTTTTGGCTTTGTACAGGGCAGGAAAAGCTCCATGTTTTATGCTATGGTTTCCATCCTGAGTCATTTTATCTAACAGTAAAGATGCAACTGTTTGGCTCTGTCTTGGTTTTAAACTTGTTTATTATTATTAAAGTGAATTGAAATTGTTTCCTGAGCACAAAAACAAAAGCCATAGAGTGTCTAGAGGAATCACATTAAAATGCAGAACTTGTTAACGTATTTTGCAAATCTGTCTTGACAGAAAGTGTTCATGCTCAGGCAAAAAAAGTACTGAAAAGCAGTTCTCAAGCCTAAAACATCGGTATTAATTGAGGATGCGCTGTTATGACAGTAAAAGTGTTTACTGTCAGTTAGTATTTTTTTTAGAAATGCTTGGAGAATATAATTTCCCAGCAAGTAGTCTCCATCAGGAAAGCTATTTGAGATAGTTGCTGTACCTAAGCAAGTGTCTGCTGTTTGGGGATATGTCTCCTCTCCCAGATAAAGAGGTGTTTGTTGTGTCAAAGGTTGATTTTATGCTAGCTGACCTGTTAGGGGAGATAGTTCTGTGGATTAAGTTAGGAGATGACAGCTATAGAATAAATGTACAGTTGACAGATTGCTGCTTCAGTGTAAGATCATTGTCTCCATCAACACTGGGGAACAAAAAAGCTAAAGCTTTCTAAAACTTACTGGTGGTCCTCCTATGAGGCGTTCACACCACCGTTCTGCCATGGCATTGCATCTCTGAGACCGACTGGCACTGCACAGAGAGGGAATTGACAGCAGCGGTTTATGTCAGGCACACAGGTGGAGGCAAAGGTAAGAGTAGGAACGTCAAGAGACATGTAGAGGAAATTCTAAGTGCATGGATTTTTATCTGAGATTATTTAGTTGGAAGAAATTGCGATAGAAGTGATCGACTTGCTACAAAGTGAGGGAAAGCTCCATTTAATGAGCATTTCAACATTTTGAAGTTGTAACTATGATGCTGCATTTCAGAGTTATGCTGAAGTTCTGTATTTGCTTGTTCTAAAAGGTATTTGCCATCGCTAAGTTGAATTTTAATTTTTTACATTAAGTCTATTCTGCTGTTACCTTCTCTTAGAGTAAAACTTTACGGCAGGTGTAAACGATTCCTGTAGAACACTAAAAAAACTTTGAGAAAACTGAGTAAAATTATAAATTGTATAAAATCCCAAGATATAATTCTAGTTAAAAGAAGAGGTACCATTTATGCTGCCCTGGGTATTTTGTCCAGAAGTTTAACGATTACAAAGTAAGTAGTACCTATTATCAAGTAAAAACAATGTAGAGTATAATTTGAATTACCATTTATATTAAACAATTTACTGAACTGGGATTCGGTAAAGGCTATTGTGTTATAAATATAAATTACACCACTTACATCTTTATGATATAAATTATCTCTAATATTTGGTACATTTTAACTGCCATTTAAATGGACTAAATTAAGACATTATTGAGAAAAAAAATCTTTAGATTTTTAACTACTTTACTCTAAAACATTCATCTTTTGAAGTTGTGCAATTTTGCTCGATTACTTTTTCTTTATGTTTTGTTTTGCTGTGAGAGTAATTAGAAAGTGGTGACAACTTTAATTGTGTAACCATTAAGCGCAATGATTCACCATATCCTCATAACATTTTAACTCGGGCAAATTCCTACTGAATCCAGAATAACATATATCTATAGGTTATTTCCTATACATGTATTGCTAAGTGTGCATGTTCTAAGTTGTAAATGTGGAAATAGATTCTAGACCAATGGATTTTCATCTGGAATCCATCTACTTCATTGGCAACAAAAAATGCCAGTAGAAGTAAATTTGTCTGCTGGAACTAAAACAGAAGTGTTCTTTTTCTTCAGGTACTCATTCTAACATTTAATCCTTATTTTGTTTTTCACTTTAACTAAACCCTACACCTTCAAACCAGGAAATATGACTGTTACAAATACATAGTTGTGGAGAAAAATAGGAAGAAAAATTTTGGAATATTTATTTTTTTGAGTTACAGAGTCACAGCACTATTTTGAAACTTGCTGAGTAGCACATTTTGCTAGGAGCAAATATTTAAATTATAGACCAGAATCTATTGCTTTATTATCATAACCTAATAGATGGATTAACATGTTATTATTTTTAATGTGGGCAGTGGAGAGAAAAGGAAAAGAAATATTTTAACTTTTTGGAAATCCACATTCATCCAGAATGGGAAGCACTAGTTTACTCACTGTATTGGAGATTATGCTACATTAGCAAAATAAAAATACGGTAAAGTTAATAGTAACAGCAACCTAGACCTGTGTTTTGTAGTATCTTTGCAAGACTCCCAGTTAAAAAAGCAGCACAAATCATTTTAGTGTCTGCATTTATTGGAGAGAAAAACAGTTAAAGCAAAAAATAGGAAGGACATGATGGTTACTTCCATTTGCTGCCCTTTTGACCGCACATTTAGCTGAAGCCAAAAATGCATATTTAATAGAATTGAGAGCACAAAAAGGAAAGTGTAATTGTTGATATGAAATACAGTTATCACAGACATATGTGTTTTGGAAAACTACTGTTTAGTATGTAGTGTTGCAATGATTATTTTATAAGTTTTAATATTTTTTCCTACATAACTGTTACATTTCCCATCAATTTGATCATTTTGAAAAAGTAAATACAGTTGATCTGACATTATAGATAAAAAAATCACATTATATATGCACTTCACTTTAGAGTACTGAAAGTGTCATTTTGACACTAAGTGATCTGAGGATTAAAAAATATATTTAAACATACATTAATAAATAAATGTAGATGTAAAGGTTGTGCAGTACTAATGGGCAATGCACAGGGAAGGAACAAGAAGCATGGTACTTCGCTAACTGGGGGAGCATTCAGTCCTTCATTCTTAATATTATGTTGTAATATCATCATAGGAAAATTCAGCAAAGGTCCTCAGGAGGCCTCTACTGTAACCTCCAGCTCCAGGTAGAGTCAGTTCTGAGGTCACACCATTGCTCACGGCTTCATGCAGTCAGGTGTTGAAAGCCTCCAATGATGGATACTGAAGAACCTATCTGGGCAACCTTTTCTGAATCCTGACGGCTTACAGTGAATAAATTTTCCCTAAATCTTATATGGACTACACTTGAGAGCAGTGATGCATGTAGCACTCTACATTTAAGTTTAAAATTTCTTGTCCTTCCCATCCCCTAAATCAGCAGTATGTTCAATTTTTTTCATCCTTCTTAAATGGTCCAGATAAACTGCTCTAGTGTAGTACTGTGGTCTGTAGTGGTGTCTGCCTCTATAAAAGAAATTTATGGTGGTACAGCAGCAGCAGCTTCCTGCTTAAGCTTCCCTTACGGCCTATTTTTATTCTTTTGAAAATATGAATCAATGCATAATTTTTAAACAGATTGTAAAGTGAGCAAAACAAGAAGTCTAACTTTGCTTGAGCTGCCTGTGACTGAGTACCCCTAATCCAGTGAGTTTGTCAGTGAGATTTGTGCTGTGGAAAAGTACTTAGACTGTTTCAGTGCTCAGTATCAGCATTTAGGTGCTTCTGGTATCCTTTGGAACATTTTTTCTTTTTCCTTAAGGGAGAAATAATTACAGTAATGCAAGTTCTTGTAATTACGCTGTTCATTGTTGTTTAACCAGAAGTGTAATTCTTAGTACTGCACGAACCCAACCGGTATTTATTTTTTAATCTATAGGTGATGGTGCAAATATTTACTATCTTCATACTAGGGAATATTCATATTTTACGTTGAAAGAGAAGACGACAAAGATCATGGCTAGGTTTCAGAGGAATGGCAGCATGTGAAATGTGGTTTTCCGTAGATTTCTAGAGGGTTACAGTAATTGCGTGTAAAGGGACCATATTTTCAAATCACTCTTTGTTCTATTTCTAAAATCTTGTCCACCACTCAGTGACATTCTTCCATGAACAGGTGTAGTGGCATGCTCTACTCAAGGCTAGGAGTGTTAGAAGTGGGAAAGCTGTGTGGTGGGAGTTTGTTTACAATTATCACTGAAGAGTAAGTAGGTACTTTTTGAGTCTCGTCATTTGTCTTGTAAAACCGTGGAAACAATCTGGCCACTTAAAAATTTTCCCAGCTGTGTAACTTAATAAAGTACAGCAGTTCATCAAAAGCAGATCCATTAACCTGGTACTCTTCTCTTGGCTTTGGTTGCAGCACCACACAGAAGCACCTAGCCCATCGTTGCTACCCCCGTCAGCTTTACCATTAGATGTGTTAAACAATGCCGTTGCTGGATTTAGTACTGTGGAAGAACTTATCCGCTACCTTGAACCAGATCGGTGGCAACTGGATTTGGAAGATTTGTATAGGCCAACATGGCAACTTCTTGGAAAGGCATACATTCATGGGAGGAAATCAAGAGGTAAGTTACTTTTCTGTCTGGCCTTGCAGCTTTCTACAAAGAAACGGTAATTAAGAGCATTCTTCACCTTGAATTTTGGTTCCAAAAAGGAATATGTTAGAAATACAGCAGAGATAGTTGTTGTTGGCTATTCTCGACATTATATTATCTGGAACAGGACAATAACTAAACGCAAATCTTAAAGGAATTTAGCAGGATAAAGTAATAAATGGGAAAAAATAGAAGCAGACATGATAGTTTTCTGTAGGAAAACTAAGAGATTTTTTTTCCACAAAGAAGCAGGACATCTTGGCTGGGTGATGTAATCTGTCTTTTTGGTTTCTTTTTTTATGGAGAGCAAAAACTTGATTTTTTTTTATTTGGGTAGGTAATATATTCACTGTATTATGTGAACAGTTGGCTTATTTCCTTAGAATTGTTCCAGTCTGTACACCATATGAATTGAGAGAAGTCAGCTAAATGTTTCTCTTCCGTTGATACCTCATGAAATCCTGTGTTAACGTCCAATATGATCATGCAGTTGTCAGCTTTATTAGATGTAAAGCAGATTATGTATTTTCAGACTTGTGCAGCTATTTCAGACTTGTGGAGCTATTTCTTGCTCAGCAAGTCATTTTCTTCCATCTACATCTGACATTCATGAATTTTCTACTGCTTGTCATCCAGATGCTGCCTACTTTTTCATGTTTATGGATACTCTGGATGGATAGCATGCAGACTGCACCACTTTTTTTGTCCGTCATACAGCTTAAAAATGAAAACACAAAGCATAACTGCATAGGCTTCTCTGTTGACAAACATAAACTAGATTATCATCTGATCGGCAAGGAAAGGGAGGAATTAAAACCTTTCATAATTCAAATTTAAGTTTTCAGTAGCTAGTTCTTGGATCAGAGCCTAAAAATCAACCCTTCTACCCTACCTGTATTGCTACAGCTGTGCACACAGCAACTAAATCAAGAGTCGAAGAGGAGGAAATCTTATTTAAAAGCTTTCAGCAACAGACCATACTTTTCAGATGGTCATTTAACACTTTCCTAATTAAAGAGATTCAGCATTGGCCAAATGTATGTCATAAGCATACAGTAAGTGGGAGAAAACAAAAATGTAATTTTTGAAGCCTTGCATAAACTAAAATGCAGATGTTAGATAACATCTATATAGACAAAAGCAACTCCCTGCAAGACGTGTCTTAGAAAGAAACTATCAGAGTAAATCTTTTCAAAACTTATAATTAGATGATAAAATATGTTTTCCCACTGAGTAAACATACCATGGTGTTGCCACATTCATCTTTAAGAGACCACCCTCAGACTGCATTAGTGAGTGTAATGTAATAGCCTGAGGTGGAAAATATGTCCAGTTGAGATGGCATAGTATTAACTGTTAGT